TTTTTTTTTCAAAATGTGGCTTAAAACCGACACGCACATGGTGAGCTACAGTACACACGGCAAGTTCTAAATGGTTATCGATTTTGTCGCAGGGTCGAAAACGCGGCTGCGCGCAAGAAACTAGCGATTTTCTTCAGGTTTGCGCATACATGTTGGCTCATTTAGGTGGTTCTAATTAGCGTGAGTGCTATCGAGCTTGAACAATCTGACAACAGAATACTGGTTTCCATGCTTTCAATCGCCCAAGGCTTAGAGAAAGCTGTTAGAAGTTCATTCAAAGCTTAGGCAAGATGTCAAATAGGAAGTTTTCTCAAAAAGATCTAAATTTACCTGCTCTGTGGTGATATTTAGTGACAAATTTGTCAGCGCTTGTAAAGCCACGACCACTTCCATTTCATCGTTGGACGTCAGCCGTTGCACCGCATGTGGAATGGCTTCGCGTACTATTGGCTTAAGCAGAATTTTTCCTTGATTAATTCAGGAAAAAAAAGGTTAACTTACATGATTTTCTTTACAAACGGCCATGTTGGCTAGACATTGTAGCAACATCACGCGGCATGATCTCGACCAGCCGTGCCGTGGAGAACAAACCATTTCGGTTACTCGTTCCGTAATTCGCAAATCGCGCATCAGTATCTGAAAGCAGCAGTTTGTCCTCCCTTATCAATTTAAGCCAAGCCTTTATCCCACTTTTGTCAAGATCAGTCTGAAAACGGGCACTATATTATAGATGTCCCAAAAGTTGTTTTCCGAAAAACTTTGCCCCGATTCAAAACGAAAACACGCTTTCCTCCATAAGAGAAGATCCGAATTTTTTTCTGAGAAGTTTTTACGTGCAACTGATCGTAGTTTTGGCGTTAAAAATGCTGTCCATTACAGTCTATCCTTTCAAGTAACAGAGAATTGTTTTAGCCCCTGCTTTTCACACACCCACATCGACAGCGTATTGATCATCCCTTTGCTCCCTCGTTCAAATTCTTTGGCAAAAGTAAAAAGATCCCGCATTCGCTCGCTAATGCATTCTGCATAAAAATGCGCTCCTTTGTCGTGCAACGTGTCCAAAAAACTTGCTTTACGCAATTTGAAGTATGTAATATTGAGTACAAGGAATAGCCGGTAGCTTCATCGGCAGGAATGGAGAAACCAGTATCACAAGAAAAATTCAGAAAAAGTGTTATCTGGGACGAGTCTAAATTCCCAAATTTTCAAATCGTATGCTCTTTCTATCCATCTTTTCCCCTTAGTCACATGTATCTTCATGGATTTATACACTCAATCTTTACATCTATATTACTCTATCAGCCTATTTGAAGCAAGCTATTTCTATTAGTCTTATGCTGTTCTGGATGAAATTAGTCTTGACTTGATATGATGATGTTCGCTTTCGTCAGTATTTCTTGTTCATTTCACTATATTACTAACCTTTCGTTTTGTTTGCTTTTTATGGAACGCCTTGAGCGTAAAAATGAAAATGGAAAAAATGGAAATGTGTTCAACGGAATTTGATATGTTTCATTTGAATGCTTTGAAAAGGGCAGAAACTCGTCGAATAGGATTTCAATCCATTTTTCCAACTCGTCATATGTAGCTTCCGCTTTTCCATGATATTTCGCTATGGAATTCCCCAAAAGGAAGTGAACTGCTTAAGCGAAGAAAATCTCGTTCACACCAGAATCGCAAAAAGATATGGAAACTGTGCTAAGCACATGCTGACTATATTATAAAAAAATGGGTGTTAGGATTCAGCTATGCAAAAAATCTAATTCATAAATGGTGAGGAAGACTCCAGATAAAAGAAAAGATGAAATTTGGCTTTTACATTTACTCTTGTGGTGTCTCATTCGACTAATTCAGAAAACGCTAGGGTAATTTCTGGTCACTTTTCAAAGCCTAAAACAATTGTCAAGAGAAAGTCCAAGAAGTGATAAGAAAAAATTTTGCTACAAATTCTCCATTTCTCTTTTACATTCCCGTGTTACTTTGTATTTGTGTCTGATATCACGTGCTGCAACATTCCTTAGTTGATGTGAATTTCATGACTAAATTTGCAGTCAAATCATCTTTCTATAGTTGAATAACTTAGTTTGCAAGGAAACTTTCTCCTTCCAAATCGGAGCGAAAACCCGAGCCGTCAACAATACTCGACGAAGCTAGTGCCTATTCAAGAAGAAAATCTAACAATGAGCAAATTTAGGCAACAAGAAATGCTCTTTAAACATGCAGATGTTTTTTCCCCTTCCATTTTGAAGAAACAAGCAGTATTCCGGGTATATTTGTCCAATTCTTTCCCCGTTAGCAGGCATAGTACCCTCAAGCGCGAAGCTTTTTTTTTCGAGTAGAAAAATTCAATTAGTGTCATGTGCAAGGGATGTGCAGTTAATTCAAATGGATAACCTAAGGCTTGGCTGATGTTACTGAAAGGCTCAAGTGGCATGTCCCGTTTGATTAATTAGCTGTTTGCGACTGCAAGAGAAGGGCATTTTACCATTACTAGTACAATTGTCATTAGGGACAAAAAAGCTTTTCTTCCATGACGAGAAAGAATTCAGATAGCGCAGATTTATTTACGATGTGAAAATGAGAATTAAATCTGGTGGATAGTTCGCTGTAGACATTCAAAGTAATCTGTACCTATGTACTTGCCATTCAATGATCTACGCAGTTACGGTAAGATTACGGTAACTCTCATATGAACGAAAGTCCTTACCTGATTTGCTGGATAAGCTGTAGCATTTGACAGTACTGTAAGTAGCGGTAGCAGTAAGTCAGACGTAGGATCAATAGCTTGTAGTGCATTTAGGACCTAGAAAATTTTCATAAGGTCCTTCGTGACAGATTTTATTATAACCCTAATCTCCCCTGCCGCCCCTTATCTAATCGCGTTAACACTTTGAAAATATGGTCCTTTACTGATTTTTTTAACCCCTGGATGCTCCCCCCCCCCTTCGGAGACCGCCAGTATTGCTCTCGTTAGCCAGCAATATCATCAATCCAGCCGGAGCGTTAAATTGCGCCAATGTGGTGCCATTCACATTCGTAGGAAATGAAAATGGAATAGATTGGTAGCTAGGCTTTGAGCTGGGCTGATTGACAAAATGAAGGAG